ATAGTCAGCGAACCGCCAAAGCGGTTGTTAAACGACCAGAATTTTTATTACTTTAAGTGCATTTGGCTTCGTTGAATTGATAATTTTAAAGCTGAACTAACAAGTTTCCATTTTTAGGAAGAAGCTTTGAATGAGGTTCCAGCTTTGTCCAGTGCTGCGGCAAAGTCTGCACGTTTCAAGCAGCACCGCCGACTTACGCTGGCTGAGGAACAGAGTGGAGTTTATTTTAAGCAGGTGCAACATGTTCGACGAGGCTTCCTGGCCAGCACCAACCTGGAGCACCTGCGTAACCTGAACATTGATGAGCCAGTGTACCTGGTCAGGAAGACGAGCATCATTTGCACACTGGGTACGAGTCGACGCTGCTTTATTCATTCGTTGGTTTTCTTTTCTGCGTTTTTTACCGATCGCGTGTCGTTTCTTCAGGCCCAGCTTCCAGGTCCGTCGAAATGATCGTCAACCTGATCTTGAACGGAATGAGCATCGCACGTCTGAACTTTTCCCACGGTAGTCACGAAGTAAGCTGTCGTAATTTCTAATCATTGACTTATTTCTCATATGCTCTGACTGCCTTTCCTTTGCGTTTCCTATTAATAATGCCGTCAGCGTGTTTCAGTGTTTCCATTCTAATTTAAAGCCATTAGAAATGCTGTCCTACAGGTTGATCGTTGTGCCTCCAGCAGAAAGATGCACTGGTCAAATCATCCACGCAGCCTTAGTTCAGGTTGTCTCGTTGCGTAGAACTAGATAACCATTGGAACTGTACTGACCACGCTGTAAAGCGGCATACCTTACAGGGACTGTAAGTGGCAGTACTACTACGTATCTAAGAAAGTTATTTCTTCCATTTTTATTGTTGTGTCAAAGTTTAAAAGTTCGGAAGTTTACTTAAAAAGCGCACACTTAATGTTAAATGTTTTCTTTTTCCATTGCATCGAAGGCGACGCAGGGTGTCATACAGTCATCGAACAAATGTGTGTTCACTCTTTTAGATGTCATGTCCATCCTCAGGCGATCTTTCCATCCATTCAGAGGTACCCGTCGACAGCCTAGCATCGCTCTATGCATTCAATGTTTGATTTGGTTATTCGCAAGGTAGTTATCGTCCTTTCATCGAACGTAGCCTCATCTTACCTCCTTGTCTACACTCAGTTGATTACTTTAGTACCATATTCTGTTCTTCCTAATATGAAGGCATTTGACGCCAGGTCATATCATTTAACTCTAATTAGCGACCTTTAAGTCTTCACTTTCATCAGTTTCAGTTTTTTGCTGTAAGCTTTGTTAATCGCTGCCGTCTCCAGTTAATACAACAAGATGTTCATGATGCAAGGCTATATATCCGCAGTTTTGTACTACTGCCTACATAGTTGTCCAACCATAGCGTGCGTTCCTTGTAAGCGGCTAATCTCAATACACAGCACCTTTTAGCTTCGTTTATTGCTTAAAAAGGACAAATGTACTCCTTAGATGCTGTTGTTTTTTCGCCATCGTCATCTGATATTAACAGAACTTAAACAGCAGAGTAACTAGATTTGTTATGTCTGACTGTAAGGAGTTCCTGTGGATCAGATTTACTGCTTGAGGTGGTTGAATCGCCTTGTGGATGTAAATCGATCGATCGACACGCATGGATCGTGCAGCACGCGGCACAGCGAAATCGAATCGCGACGCAACCCTTCACAAGCAGTGCAATAACTCTTGAGATACAGATGTTCTGGTTTCTTTTCCACAAGGCAGTGGTCAAACTGGCACTGGTGCGAATTTTGCCAGTTTTCTTTCACACAGATCAGGTTAACCCTTCTGTTTCAGAGTAGTACAGTGATGTGGCAGCTTCAAAGCTGTCTGCTAGCAATACGATAAATCCGCCAATCGAAGAGACTTTACGCAGATGTTGTCCATTCTCGTTGCAGTCGTGGCTTCGATCCTTCGCATTGGCTGCAACACCCAGTCAAGATAAGTAGCGAAAAGCAGAGTAGGTTCCACTCCTTGTCTTAATTCGAATTTGGTACGAAAGAATTTGCTGAACTACCTCCAGCATGCTTTCCATTTGAGGAAAGAGATGTATATTTTTAGTTGTGACAGCAGCACAATTGGCAGTCGTTTACTGTACTACACTAAATACAAGCGAATGAAACTAATATAACTGATCTGTTACACAGCAGTCTTATCGTATGACATAGCACTTCGCTGTCGTTATAGTTGTTGAAACAGTGGAGCTGTTCTGGAATGAATTTCGTGCCGATAGCCGAAATGTTACCGTAGCATTTCTCGAATATACATCTCTGCGAATAGTCCCGATAACGGCATCGTGATCATAGCATAAATTCAGGACAACGCACTCTTTTTCAGTAGAGTCTTAAGACCGGCTTGAAGTTTTTTGGATTGAACGCCATGCCTTCTTGGCGGCGCATGTACCTGTTGTTATGTGGCAGTGCTATTATCAAGCGTTCCACCATACCTGAGGATCTACTTCGTCAGCTGGTGAGGGAGTCGCCGCGACACCACTGGCCGCTACCGCATATTTGTCAGAAGTTTCTTACTTACTTCGCTTTTGACGCTCCTCTTTAACGAATGTTCCATCATCTGTAGCCGGTAGAAACCTACGTATGAGTACCCTGACTCTAGTGTTTGACCTTTCTTCAGTGAAACAACGGAATTGCTGATTTCGGTATCACACTGTGCAGATTCATGTCTACCAACGTGTATAACAGCACTTGCATTTAAGGCAAGAGCCTCCTAGGTCTTTTATAGGTGTGAGGTACCGATTCTTCTTCTGTATGCTGCACTGATTGCCTCCGTTTTGTCCAGTCATTAAAGATGGTAAGTGCACTTTCATTCACCCTTGGCGATAACCGGTAACGTCTATTAAGAACCTGAAAACAGGCGGTCAATATGACAACAGTTGGAGGCATTTCATTACGTTTCTGTACAGGGCAAGCCGTTCTGATGCTTCGTTTTTTTTCTCGGGAACCTGGCTGATCACTGGTCTTCACAGATGAAACGAAAGAAGTGGTAGCAAAAAATTAGTGAAAAGTGTATTAAAATCACGTAGCGAATGCGATAAATTTAACCTCGGCATATAGGGCGCTATGTAGGATCAGTGTTAAAAGTTGATGATTGAATGTCCGAACGAATGGTTATAAACCAAGGTATTTGAGGAGCATGAGGAAAAAATGGGGTTTGTTTCAGAGGCAATCTGAATAAATTACGTTGTTTTCCGTTTTCGAGTCGCTTTTAACATTTCTACGGCCCGAAAGGATATGCAGTTACTGAGACTGATCGACTGGCTGGATTTTTCCATTTTTCTTCTGACTATTTGAAACCTAATTACTATTGTTTATCACATTTCGGTCAAATAACACTCGCCATCGTCGGGTTTTAGCTTTCTCTGTGGTGATGTTCATATTGCCTAAAGGAGATGCTGGCTTTGAATTAAGGAATGAAAACGACGTTCATTTTCCTACCGATAACCGTTGAATCATGCAAATGCAGCTGTGAGGATATAATGCAGAATCACAGTGAATGTTCGGCTCCAGTTGTTATTGCAGTTATGTTAATATACGGAGGCAGACTGATTTCGGAGATTAATGTACGAATTTACTCGCTGGAAAGCAATTTGAAAATCATTGCTATTTTCTTATCAGCTGCATTTTCGTGACAGATGACGATTCATCGCCGAGGGTGATTCTGTTTATTCGTCATTATGAATATGGGTCGCTCGTTTTAGTTGCCCAGTTATGCGATATCCGTGTTCTACAGTACGTTCATTCACAAATTCCCAAATGCAGTCCTAATACTGGACGTCTGAGGTTCGCAACGGCTTTCCATCGATGCGGCTGAGTGACTGGTAGACTGCCAGTAGAAGCCGTTCTCTCTTTTCGAAATCCAGATGTTCGTCCGTAGCGTGTGTTTCCGTTCAGAAGGATAATATGTCCACGCCGGTATGGACTCATGGCGCTATGGACCGAAGCTAATTCGCTGTTCAGTCCAAGTCGGGAATCTGGGATATTTTCAGATGAGTGCTGAAGCAATGTCTGCTGCTGGTTTAAGTTTAGAATATTGTTTATGTATAGAGGTAGGTTTGGCGATCATGCGGTACAGCGAAAGTATTGCCGGTTCGGAATGAATTGCGATTTTAGTCGCTTACCGCTGTCAACGAATTGCTGTTCTAGACGGTAGCACATAATTTTGAGCTCAGTTTATTGAAGAGCGTTTTCTAGTTTACTGATCTAGCAACTATATACTGCCGATCTGATTTCGAACTATAATGCCGTCGTAATATGCTTCGACGAAAGATAGAATGCTATATTAATTGATCGATTCCTTTCTGAAAATGGTATCTATCCTTCAGTGTAGCTTTTCAAGTTACGGTGTGAAAAAGATTGCAGCAGCCGTCGGAGTTGCCACGTCTGAGGCTGTTTCTCTGCCATTCTGGTCATCGCTTGACATGTAATAGGGAGACTCGGC